TGGTTTTTTTCATAGCGATAGAGTGATGTCACATTTAGAGCATAAATTTTGGGTTGCAAATATTTGCACAGATGGGTAAAGACAGAGATGTCTAAGACAAATTACACTTGGCAGAAATGATGATTTTGATGCCAAGCATGCCTCCTTAAAAAGTCTCAGGGAAGCCAGCCTGGTGGTATGACAGCTGCTAAGTGAGGGGAAATTGGCTCCAATGTTTCCCCTACTCCTACTGGCCCAGTTTTGGGCTATGCATTATAATTTTTCTTCAGGTGAAAACATGTCTGGTGTCTGCTACTCATTTCTAAGTTTAGGGAAGGATACTGAGGAAGATAAAAAAGTTCTCTTGGGATATTTGAGGGTGTATACTTGCTGGAGCTATTTCACTATTCTTCTTTGCTTCTAATTGTCTACTATTGTATTTTTATAGCTTTATTATACATGGTTTCAGAGTGTTGCGTAACATTAGTGGAGCAGAACCAGGAGAAGTGTGGTATTTCAGGTCTGATTGGGTTGACATGAAAAAGGTTCAGGTACTTACTCTCTGCCTTGGCTCAAGACCAAAGGCTCTGCTACATGTTTTGACATTTTCTAAAATTGCCTGTACTTTCAGGTCTGCTGTACAAACTAAGGAGGACATGGCTTTGGGATTTTTCTGTCCGATGGTCTTCTGCAGGGTTGACCAATAGGAAAAGCAAAAGTTTGGCGTAAAATGGTCTTGGTCCTAAACCCATCTCTGTCACTTGCTAACCTTTTGGCCTTAGGAAAGCCACAAAATCCCTGGTCAATTTCCTTATCTGTGAATTGGATAGGAGGGTGTCTCCCCTGCCTAATTCATAGGGTTGAAGACCAGAGCAGACTGTGTATTCTCATGGATAAAAAATGGGCTATATCTCCTGTGAATAATTACCAAATAATATTAGTAATTATTTTCCTACACTTGTCAAGGAAAACTATCAAGTCCATAAAATGAAGATGTCCAGACATAATGGGCTTAATTAATTTTAGAACATTTTTATAGAAAACTTTTGCCTCCCTGTAAAAAAGTGACTCTCCTAATGCATACACAGTAGACGGCCTCGTGTTCCCACACTCTGATGGAAAATCAAAACAAAACAAGCACTCACTCCATTGTTGAATCACATGGAAATCTCATGGAATAAATTAGAATAACGATCATTTGTACTGACAAACTTGTTTCTTTCCACCGTGCTCTTTCAAGTGGGGACTGGTTAAAATGAATACATAGTTGTGTTTTTATGCCTGAAGTAAAATGAATTAATCTTGCCAAAAATTGTGGGCTGTTTAATGTCTCCCTTATTTAGCGATTACTAAATACTGTGGTAACTTTTCATGTGACTTCATTTTGTTCTTTCTCTGCAGAGATGAAAATTACGGTCGGGTG